CTAGCACGCCTAGAAAAAGCTATTCAGAAGAATCAGTAATGGATCACAACCATCCCCCTGTATTAGAAAACCTACAAATCATTGCAAACTTCAACCTTTGTGGACCAGTTTAGGATATATTGGCAAGGACTCCTTATCTTACAAAGCTAGGATTCTATGGAAATTTTCTATCAAATTCGGGGAATTTGATGTTTCCTAATCTAGAATTTTTAAGAAACCTTGAGACTTTGAAGACACACAACAAAATTTTCCCAAGATACCGAACTGCTCTCGGAGAGGTCACGTTTCCTTCACATATTAAAAGGCTAACCTTGAAATATACAGGGATAAAGTGGGAGGAGATGTCGATCCTTGGGATGTTGTTACCCAACCAAGAGCTTCTCAAATTAGAGAATAATACTGGCTGGGGACATCAATCGGCAACAACTGATGTAGGGTAACGCTAAAGATGGTGTTGGTGATGGAAGGCGCGATCGCAACGGTAGGGGCTATAGAGATGGGCCATCGCGAGGTGACAGAGATAACGGAGAATGGTTGAGGTGGTCAAGGGAGGAGGCCAGAGGTGGTGCGGCGACTAGTTAGGGTTAGAAGTTTTTGGGTGGTTCGGAAATTAGGCTCTTGGATGTGGAAGATAAAGTGTATTTTGGTATTTTTATTTTAGGATAAAAATGTAATTAAAAAAATTTCATGAAGTGTGTGGAGTGAGAGGAATTAGTGATTGGAAATGGAATTTCCCAAAATATTGGGGTGCATTTAGAGCCACCCTCTTTACAAAAAGATTATAATACCTAAACTATCCCTATAAATACAAAACAAATACAATAAAAAAGTTACAAAGGAGGGTGAGGGGCTTAGTAGCAGGAATCGTCTCAGATGGCGACGACTCCGAGGAAAAAGCGCGATTTTGCGCTTCTGAGGAAGGATCGCATCAGAATCGCGAATCTGAGGAGAGGGAAACGCGAATCTGATGCGGGAAGGGAGCACTATTGAGAGGGCAAGGAGAGTACCTGGTCGCTGGCTTCGATCCTCCGTTCGACGACTTCGATCTCGCCGTTGGACTTCCCCGTCGAAGCCCTAGTCTTCGTCCCTCTCTTCGAAGCCCTAGGTCTTCGTCTCTCTCTCTCTCTCGCTTCTCTCACCCTCGATCTCCTCTTCGTCTCTGTTGCGTCTCTTCTTCTCCCTCTCTCTTTCTTCGTCTCTGTTCTCTCTGTCTCTCTCTTTCTTTCCCTCTCCGATTTCATTATTTTGTATAATATAATTTATCATATATAATATAATTTATAAATTATAAATTATAATATAATTTATCATAAACAATATAATTTTTATTTGTAAAATAAAAAATTATTTATTTTATCATATATAATATAATTTTTATTTATTATTTATTTTTTTAACAATTATTTCTTAACTTTTTAACATATAATAAATCATCTAATTGTTTAAAAGAAATCTATTTAAATCATATATAATAAAAAAATCTTAAAAAATTTATAAAATAAAACATCTAATTTTTATTTATTATTTATTTTAACATAATTTATTATTCATTATAATAAATAAAATATAATTAATAAAAATAATACATAAGCGCTCCTAATTTACGACTCCTCTAAATGGCCACGTTTCCCCGCTCCCGCTCCCGCTCCCGCTCCCGCCCCCGCTCCCGCTTCGTGCAACTAAGGTTTAGAATAATTATAATTGAATAAAAAGCCAACTAATAATATACTATTCTAACACTCCTCCTCAAGCTGGTGCGAAGATATCTCTCATACCTAGCTTACTTAGGATGTCATGCAATGGCTTACTCCCAACTCCCTTGATGAGGATGTCAGCGAGTTGTTCACCAGACTGTACAAATGGAGTACATATTGTGCCACTAGTGAGTTTCTCCTTAATGAAGTGATGATCAATCTCAACATGCTTTGTCTTGTTGTGTTGAACCAAATTGTGAGCGATGTTGATGGCCGCCTTATTATCGCAGTATAACCGCATGGAGTCCGTCTTATCAATACCTAGATCACCCAACAATAACTTGATCCATAAAAGCTCACACACTCCTTGTGCCATAGCTCTAAATTTAGTTTCTGCACTTGACCTGGCAACCACATTCTGTTTCTTATTCCTCCGAGTAACTAGGTTGCCTCCAACAAGGGTGCAATACCTTGAAGTCGATTTCCTATCAGTTACTAATCCAGCCTAGTCGGCATCTGTATAGGCTTCCATACAAAGATGATCATGCTTTGAGGCAACCACATTCTGTTTCTTATTCCTCCAAGTAACTAGGTTGCCTCCAGCAAATGTACAATACCCTGAAGTCAATCTCCTATCAGTTACTGATCCAGCCTAGTCGGCATCTATATAGGCTTCTATACGAAGATGATCATGCTTTGAAAAATAAAGACCCTTACCAGGAGCAGACTTCAAGTACCACAAAATTCTTATGACAGCCTCGAAGTGAATCTGATGAGGAGCATGCATAAACTGGCCAACCACATTGACAGCAATAGCAATATTAGGACGGGAGTGAGATAGGTATATAAGCTTATCCACTAAACGCTGATAGCACTCCCTATTAACAACTACTCCTCCTTCATCATCCCCAAGTTTTGGATTGGGTTCCAATAGAGTGTCACAGGCCTTGGAATCAAGCATCCCAGTTTCCTTCAATAGGTCAAGCACATACTTCCGCTGTGAGATAAATATCCCATCCTTAGAGCGAGCAACTTCAATTCCCAGAAAAAACTTCAAGCTCTCGAAGTTTTTGATTTCAAACTCGCTAAATATTTCTTTAGCAAAGGTATTTCCTCACTATCATCAGCTGTAAGAACTATGTCATCCACATAAACAATGAGCGCTGTAGTCTTACCATGTAAGGAAT